TCATAAATGATTTAAAAAAAGAAAAAATCATTCTAGAAAGTAATATATCTACATGTAAAAATAAAACCAAAGACCATGAAGAAAACAAAAAAATTAATCAAGACTTAAAAAATCTAGAATATGAATATTATTCTTTCGAAAGATCTTTAAAAAATATACTGGAACAAATAGAAAAAGAAAAGAAAATCAATATCGAAGTACAAAAAACAGTTGAAATATTAAATCAAAAAGCTAATATTGTGTTGAAAAACTTTAACAAATCGATAGAATTTCCTACTTTAAAAAATAAATTAGCTTTAATTAAAAAAATTAGTGAAGAGTACAAATGAATTTCTCATCAAAAGAAATCGAAAAACTTCAAGAAATCATCGATAAAATAAGAACCGAAAATAAACTCCTGTTAAAAGAAAGAGATGAATGTGATAAAACAGATCTTAATAATCAACAAATCATCGATAAAAATAAAAACTTGAAAGAAAAAGACTTCGAAAACAAAATATTAGAACTAAGACAAGAAATAGATGGAGCAAAAAAAGTACTTTCGGGGTTTAGTAAAAGTAATAACCTTGAAAAAGAAAAAACACGTATAGATGAATCGTTAGATAATTTTAAAATAATCTACAATGATTCATTAGAAACTAAAATAGATCTTATCATAGAATTTAGCAAAACAATTAATAATAATAAATAATTTTTTTAACGAACAATATATTACTATATTTAGATTTATTAAATGTAGGGTTTCCTACATTTAATGAATCTAAATATAGTAATGCTTTATTATTCATATTGTTCTTAAAAATCACATGTAAGATTTTTATCAAAAGAAAAAAAAATGAAACTTCCTTTTAGGTTGTAACTTTTTTTTTTTTACTTGTTACCCAAATATAAAATAAAAAATTTATATTATCGATTGTAAAATTAAAAAGCAACAAAATTTTTAACTTTAAACCATTGCAAATGATAAAAGAAACTAATATATTTAATTTATATTATTTCACTTATATAAATAATGTAATTTTTTTAGTTTTGATAAACATTTAAGTTTTACTCGAAATAAAATAAAAACAAAACAAATAACTACAATTAAATTTATATCAATAAACAATGTGTTGAACTTGCGGTGGTTGGTGTTGGCTTGGTATCTCTTATAGATGCAGAGGTGGAGGAAGACACGAAGGAGGCGGATGGAGACGTCCAAATGTAATTCATCATACCAATGTTATTTATCAAACAACGGTAATTGATTATACAGATTATGGAAGAATTCGTTAATTAGAAACCCAATTATCTGAAATGACAAAAAATAGAGACGATTGGAAAAAACAATCTGAAGAATAGAAAAAACAAGCAAACGAAATGGAAGAACAATTAAAAGAATATGAAAAACATAAAAAAGAAGTAGAAGATAAAATTAACAAAATTATGATAACTCATCTCAACATAAGTAGAATTGAAATCGAAAAATTAACCACTGTTAGAAAATTAGACACAATCTTAAACTTCATAAAACAAGAAGTAAAAGAATATTTAAGATTACTTGGAATCCCTTTTCAAACTGGTGATAGTTTGATTTCTATACTTAAAAAATTAGTAAAAGCCTGTGAAGAAATTGGAATAACTGGTCCTGTTCAAGAAATGTTATTAAGATGTTTAAAAATGTTAGATCCTAAAACTCAAATAAATGATTCTAAATCTTTTGGAACCGAATCTTTGAGCATGGATGCTTTAGTGAAAGCTTGCTTTGAAAACAGTAGAGATATTTTGAACAAAGAACGATTTTTTGAAAATAGACCTGAAATTAGTTTTGTAAGAAAATTAATAAGATGTCATTACTATTTGGTTAGAAAAAACAACCCATTGAGTGTAAAAACAATGGCTGATAATTTGTTTAAAATAACTGATCTAGAAAGTGAAAAAATATTTAACAGAAAAATATGGAAAAATATCATTAAAAAGGAATATAACTCATTTTCCATTTTTAATCCTCAATATAATTATATTAATATAGTAGTAAAAGAACTAGGTTACTATAGATAGAGCATGCCTCAATATGATAAAAGGTTTCTCGAAAAATTACAACGTTGTCATACATATTTTCAAGTTGAAATAAATGAAAAATCGGAAGAAGGTATAAATGATATGAGTGTTGATAACTTATTCGAACCAAATTCTCTTTCTATTTATCAGAATAGACGAAATAGAATGCCAGATAAATTTAATTTTTTATGAGTTTATTTATTTATTTATTTTTTTTTAATTACATTATTATTAGATTATCAAGGAAAATATACAACTCCTGAAGAACTTCAAAGAATTGTTTTATTAAAAAATAAAAATAAATAATTTTTCAATTGTTTATATTATTAGTTATAATATTTTATACATATACAATTTATTTATATTATTATTTTAAATATTTTTATAAATAAACAATTTATTTAATTTATTTCCACAAAATGTCTAAAAATATTAAAAATGTTTGTCCAAAAGTTCTTCAAATCCCAAGTGGTTCAGGAGAACTTGACAGAATACAAGGAATTATTAATACTCTAAGTGCCGATAAGAAAAAATTACAAGAAGAAATAGAACTTTTAAAATCGAACAATCCTCTGTTAGAACAAGAAAACCAAGACTTAAAAAATACAAATGATACTTTAAAAAAAGAAAACGACAGATTAAACAAAAAAAATGAAGAATTAAAAAATGAAATTAAACCGCTTACCGATAAAATCCATGATTTAGAAGAAGAAAATAAAAAAATTAAAGCGGAAAATGAAGAAAATACAAAAGAAAATTTGAGTTACGAAGAAACTTTAAAAACTCTTAACTTAAATATTAATACTACTATAAGTATATTTAACATAAAATTTAATATTAATGATTCAATTGAAAAAAGAATAGAACAAATCGTGAATTTAGTAAAAGCGATGATGAATATTTCTGAATAATCACATATTTTGTCAAACTATAGAACTATATAGTTTTAACTTATATTATAATTAACATATTTACTGTATAAAATAATTTTTATAATAAATCAAGTTTTTTTTTTATTATAAATTTGTAACTCGGAAATAATTTATTTAGTAATTGATTAAACAACTCTGAAACTCCGAAACTCCATTTTGATAAACTATATTTAGTAATTAATTTGCAAACTCTGAAACTCTGATAAATTTAAATAATTTGTAATACCAAATATTAAAATAATGATCATCAATACAAATACCTACGAATTTCTGTTTTTTGGTAATTTTACGCTTTTATTTCTTGAGAGTAAGGCCTCTTTCTTTGAAAGTTTAGTTCGTAAAATAAAAATCACAAAGTTCGAGTGGTTTTTTCTTAGAAATACATAAATTTCTCCTTGAAATAAAAGTTAAATTTTATATGTTATTTTTTACTAACTACTAATTTTTTTTTTTGTTTTGTTTCTATGGTCTTTGGTTTTATTTTTACATGTAGATATATTACTTTCTAGAATGATTTTTTCTTTTTTTAAATCATTTATGA